ATGCCCAGCTGGAACATTTATTCTTACCTGTTAACTTAGTAAGATTTATGACATGATTGACAATTCATAGGTGAACTTTTGCTTTACTTTTAGGATTGGCTTCACATAAATAGTTTTATGTATTATATGTAGTAACCTGATCATTTTAGGTATGTTCTGCATACCTGAAAATAAAAGTCAATCATTTGGTGCCTTTTGTTACTAGTCAAACTTTTGCCTGATATGGGGAATAAAAAAAGAACAGAATACCAAGAGAAAGACAATTACGATTTTATGATGCAAGAAAATCAAACACAAAAGAAAAAGCAGTAACAGCTGAGAAAAAATTTGCCATCTGCAAGTTTATTTATGATACAAAGAACTCTTAAAAAATCAGTATGGTACCCATTAATACATACAGTTTTTATGTTTTTATGTATTTATTTAAAAGCTAAATGCTTTAAAAAAATACCCAGTTTATAATAGGCAAAACAACGTGGCGTTATGTAGTCATGGACCAATTTCTGGAGATCTGATGTTGTAAACCATGAGAAACATAGTTCGATAAAATCCTGTAGGATTTTTGTTAAACAGTCTTCTAGCTATCACAAAAAAAAATAACTATGTAAAAATGATATCATATGTAATCTTGCTTCCACTTAGTAACCATTTTACCATCTATATATTTCTAAAACAATGTCATAAAACTTCAAAATACACAACTTTAAATGAAAATGGTTAGCAGAGAAAAAAATTAAATTTCTTCAATCTTGGGGCCACATTGCATGGTTGGAATATTCTTTTTTTTTTAAATGAATCCGTAGTCAGTTTTCTGTTCTTTATATGCATATGTTATGATGGCGAGGTAACGTGTAGCATTATAAAAGTATTTATAAATATCTTAATTAAATTCACCCTCTCATTCATTCTCCTATCCCCCTCCCCTCATTCTTAGAATAGTTTCAACACGTCTCATTTTTTCTATTTTCATACCATGAGTACATAATATTTGTTACCATATTCACCTTCCACACCCTTCCTTCATATCCTCCCCCCTTGGAGTCTGTTTTCTTCCTTCTTTCCTTTCCCATCCCTTCCCTCTTCCCCTCCCTCCCCTTCCCTCCTTACTACTGTACCCATACTGGCCTGGACCTTGGAATCCTCCTGCCCCCAGCCTCCTGAGTGTGGGAATTGCAGGGTTGTGCCATCACACTTGACTTAGATCTGAACACTTTAATGAGTAATAATAATAGCTAGACATACTTGTTGAACACTAAGCAATGGTCGTGTATTAACTTAATCTTTTCAGCAGCTTTATGAAGTGAATATTACTGTTACTTACCTTTTACAGATGACAAATTGGTTAGAGAGATTTATGACTCATCAAAGAATATAGAATATATTTTATTAATTTATCCAAAATATCTAAGATAGTTTACCCATTCCACCATTTTGAAAGTAGAGAGTTGGTTATACTTCTGCCACCAAGTGCATTTTTTTCCATGATTTTCTTGTTTATTATGCTTATTTGCTGATGACAATTGCTTGCTCTTTACATGTTCTTTACATTACAAAGTCTGCTCACCAGGTTATATTTAGATTGCCTATGGTTGAAAGTCCTAATGTTTGGAAAAGAAAGGTATAGAAAAATGGTCTGAAATGGTCTCTCTTGAGTGTTGGTTATGGTGACTTGTGAGGCTGCTCCTTAAAGCATCTGCCCTCACAGCAGTTCCTTCAGGTTTGGCTCTCCTATGCATTATTAAGTTTTATTAAAAAATGAACTGTATAGATATTAAGTTATACCACATGCCCTTTTTTAAGATTAAGAAATGGTGATTTTGTTTTCAGGACATCATCAACTGCATAGGTGGATTAAATGTACTCTTTCCTTTATTGGAACAACTCAGCTACTTTAATGAAGGACAGGTTTCTGAAGGAATGAGTGAAAGCACAGTTCCTGAATGGATAACACCTGTAGAAGGAGAGCCTATGGTATCAGCCTCCACAAAGGCATCAGGTATTAAGATGGTATTGATACACAAACCAGGCATTGAGAAATTTGAGTATTAGTTGAAATATGAATTAAAATGTCCTACTACCATTAGGAAGAAACTTTACTGTTTGTAGCTGTAGAAGCTGCTTTATTTTATTGGTACAGTTCAGAAAGTTTATAATACTTTGGTCAAAACACTTAATAATGTGGTTTTACTCTCAATTATCTTTAGTTTATGCTCAGTGGAAAAGAACCATATTGTTAAACTGTGGTACAGTATTTACATAAACATAGAAATATACAGCATGCAGTTCTGCTTTTTCTGACTCTGTTATACACTTAAGCCTTGAAAAACAAGCACTACTGAACTACATTACTTCTTTGTTATAATGTGCATTATGATATAGAAAATGTGATGTAAAAGTGATAAGAGTAATTATGATAATGAAATTTTCCTGTTTCAATAGAGTCAAGACTAGAGAAAAATCTGGTTGCAACATTTATCTTGATTGTGAAACACTTTATTCAGAGACATCCAATTAATCAGGACAATCTTATTCAGTCCCATGGAGTTGCAACTCTTGGTACCTTACTTCAGAAGGTAAATCAATCTAATACGCTATTGATACAGCTGATGATTGTAATTAGTTGGTGTTAAGATTTTTATTCTTTCTGCTAAATAAGTGTTATTAAAGATTACTGTATTACAGCTTAAGTTTTATTAATGGGTATAATTTGTTCCACAGGTAGCTTTCTAAAATGCTCATGGAATCATTTTATATAATAATTACTTATTTTTTGTAAAAGCGTGTAAGGTTTGCTATATATAACCTTGTTTGTATTTGAGATATTTGAGAGACTTTAAGACTGTTTTACGAATATGACATTAAGAAAATATGTTCTAGTATTACATTAGAAAAATTAATGATTAAATTGTTTATACTTTCCTACCCTTGATTTTTTTATTTTTGCATTTAGTAGATATTCTGAATTATTTGAAATTACAGTTTAGTGATAATTTTTAAAACTGAACAGTTGTTTTATGGAACCCTCTTTTGTTTGGTTTCAGGTGCCAGGTACCTTAATGGATGTTAATGTATTGATGGCAATTCAGTTATTAATTGAACAGGTCTCATTAGAGAAAAATGTGCCACTGCTGCAACAAATGTATCAGTATTTACTATTTGACTTCCGTATTTGGAACCATGGAGATTTTCCCTTTCAAATTGGTGAGAGCAAACTGTTAGAAAATTTTATAGTTCTGTTAGAAATTTATAACCATTTATGCGACTTTATTTTAGCTACATCATTTACAAGTGAACTTTCTATTTTAGGTCATATACAATACCTTTCAACTATTATTAAAGACAGCAGGAGAGTTTTCCGAAAGAAATATGGTGTGCAGTTTCTCCTAGATACACTCAGGATTTATTATGGGTATGACGTCTCTGCTCCTTCTTAGTTCAATATATTCTTTTCTGTCTGCTACTTGACAGAATTGAAATGGGTAAAATTTTCTCTTTACTAGCAATGCTAATGCCTTTCTCTTCAGAAAACAGGAAGTTGAGTGCCTAGACAGAGAAACCAATGATCGTATTTTCTAGTGTTGAATATATTTTCATTATTTGTAGCTACAGGCAGTACTCATATTCTTTGTGTTTGAATTT